ATAAATCTTTAAAAATATATATATATATATAATAAATGAATGGATGTTTCAACATTCACGTAGCCATCCTCATAGTCCTGGCTATTCAAATTGTTTCATTTTCTATGCTATTTTCTTTCTATGTTATTTATTTCCTATAAACAATGCAAAAGTGATCAGTTTGCACCTTTCTGCTGCCTCACCTATTCAATGAATTCCTCAGAGTGACATTTGGGAGTGAGCTTAACATTAGGAGTAAACGTGAGTTCAAGTCCATACGGTCAAATTCCGACATAGATGGCTACCTTACGGGTGGGATTCTGTGTCATCACCATTCTTTATGGCTTCCCATAGTGTTTCCAGACCAATGCCATCACCTCCAGCCTCTACAGCCTGAGAGGGCGTCTTCACGTTCACCAAGTGGAGAAAGTTCAGTGACTCACAACTCCTCAAGCTATTCCAAATACCCCCACTTTGGAGATGCAACACAGTCTGGGGGACAGTGTCCTCTGTCAGAGAACCATCATGGAATGATAGGGTGAGACTATTTTCATAGTCTCTGTCAAGAGGGTAAGACTCAGGGGCACCCCAGGAGACGCAGAGAATGGTAGAAAACATCACCTCAAATTTTGAATGATTTCACCCAATTCACTTAGTTGGTGAGTAAACTGAAGATAAGAGCGGGAATTGACCCACAAATTCATACAGTGGAGCAGCAGAGACAGGAAGACACGACTCCCAGGCTGGCCTGCCACAAGCTCCCCCAAGTCTCGATCCAAACCCAGGCACCTACCTGTGGTCACCTCCTGTCCACGCGGGTGGGCTGGGGCCAGCTCACCTACTGGGGGCACCCCCTAGTGCTCCTCACAGGTGCTCTGTGCTTGGAGGTTCTGCTCTCCCCTCTGGCAGGACTTTCTCCTTCTTCCTCAGACCAGTATCTGCGATTACAAAGGATATGAGTTTCACTGTTGTTACAGCTAAGATATGAAAACACTTCTGCTTCCTCTTTCTGAATTTCAAGCCTGGAAAAACGACATGCAACAGAAGGCACATAAGAGAAAGTGCATGTGGAGACTCCGAGTCGCAAGTTGGGGTGCCTGTTCCTGTTGCTCTATTAGGCCAAATGGTTTCTTTGAACCTGAGCTTTCTCACCTGCCAAATGCGGTGGGTGACCCTAATGCTACCGGACGGTTGTTGGGAGAGTTCGAAAACAAGGATGTAAAGAGTTTACAAGAAGTAGGCCCTTGACAACAGTTCATAGTGACCACGCTAATGCTAAATTGAGGGAAAATGATTTGTTTTCCAATTTCCTAGGTTCTGGCCAAACTTGATGCCGCCGGTGGGGGCCCACTGCCCAGTGGTTAGTACTTAGGAGCGTGTCTTCATTCTTTCTCTGCCTTTCTGGGTCCCCAGAGTCATGTTCAGGGAAATTCAGGCTCCCCCAGGAGGGATGTCAGTGGGCTGGAGTCAGAGGCAGAGCCTTGGGGCTCAAACCAAACTTGTACTTGAGGGAACAAGGGAGGCT